GGACCAAAAAAAAAAAATAGCAAATAGATTAAATTTTTTTCTTTTAACAAGTTTTTTCATGTGTATAGGATATAAATGTAACTTATATTACATAGATTTATGACTAATCTTATTTTCTGCCACTTGTTTTCTATTTTTTCCTAAAAAATTTAAGCACCTGCCCTTTTGCTATTATATATTTCATATATATGTTAATACTTCATATATGTTAAATAGTTCATATATACCTCATGTATATATACTTCATATATATGTTGCAACAATTAACTTCTTTATGATGAATGAAGTTTGAAACATTTTTAATTTCACTTATTTTGCTCTTAATACTATACTTGTATGAATACTATTTTAATCTTTAACCCATGATTCTTATTGTTTCATATAATGAATGTTTGTTAAGTTCATACATATGTTACTACTTTTTAAATTTTTTTAAAGTTTTTTTTATTGTAAAAATACTGTACAGAGGGGTTACAGTTACATTAGCAAAGTAATGAGTACATTTCCTATCAAGCATTGTTGCCTTCTCCTTTGTTTTTCCCCTACCATCCCTTCCCTCCCACCTCCACAACTACCCCCCCCCCCACTCCACCCTCTACCCACCCTCTAAATTGTAAAGTTCATTTTTCAATGTAGTGTCTTGTACATCTCATTGTTATAATGGGTCAACCTGTATCCCTATTTAAACATTTTGTTTTTTCTCTTCCCCTCCCCAAATTAGACTAACATCAAATACAGTGAAAACAGGGGTAATACCATGGGGGAGGAACATACAAAGCAACAAAAAAAAAATCAAATGGTACATTATAAATATGTTAGAAACAAAAGCAAGAAAGAAAAAACCACTTGTGTCCCTATCTTGGGGCTCATTTCACTTAACATCATCTTATCTGGTCATATGTACATAGCTTTTGACCTTTTCTGCTTGTCCCAAACATATACTAGTAATTGTAAATAAGGGAAACCATAGGACCTATGTTTCTTTGGGCCTGGCTTACTTCACTTAATATAATTTTTTCCAAGTCTTTCCCTTTCCTAACAAATGGGGCAATGAATGCCATTCGTTCTGATGGAGGCATAGAATTCCATTGTGTATATATACCACATTTTCTTGATCCATTCATCTACTGAGGGGCATCTGGGTTGGTTCCACATATCTTAGCTATGGTAAATAATGCTGCAATAAACATAGTTGTGCTGGTAGCTTTAGTATGGTCTTGTTTGTGATCATTTGGATAAATGCCCAAAAGTGGGATTGCTGAGTCATAGGGAAGCTCTATGTGGAGTCTTTTGAGGAACTTCCATACTACTTTGCAAAGTGGTTGAAAAAGTTTACACTCCCAACAATGCAGTAAGGTTCCCTTCTGTCCACATCCCCTCCAGCATCTGTTGTTATTAGAGTTCTTGATTCTAGCCATCCTAAATGGGGTGAGGTGGTATCTCAATGTTGTTTTGATTTGCATTTCTTTTATGACTAGAGAGGTTGAGCATTTCTTCATGTGTCTGTTGGCCATCCTTCTTTCCTCCTCAGAGAAGTTTCTCTTTAAGTCTTTAGCCCACTTATTTATTGGGCAGTTGTTTCTTTGAAGATTTGTTGTTGGGGGATTTAATTTTTTGAGTTCCAGGTATATTTTAAATATGAGACCCTTGTCTGTTGTATGGGTAGTGAAGATCTTCTCCCAATCCATGGGTTTTCTATTGATCTTGCTAGCTATGTCCTTTGCCATGCAGAGGCTCTGAAATTTCATGCAGTCCCATTTGTCCAACCTTTCTTTGATTTGTTGTGTTTCTGGGTCTCTATTAAGAAAATTTCGGGGCTGGGAAGGTGGCTCAGTGGTAGAGCGCTTGCCTTGCATGCCTGAGGCTCTGGGTTCGATTCCTCAGCACACATAAGCAAAAAGAAAAAAGCCGGATGTTGCGCTGTGGCTCAAGTGGTAGAGTGCTAGCCTTGAGCTGAAGAGCTGAGGGACAGTGCCCAGGCCCAGAGTTCAGGCCCCACGACCGGACCACCCCCCCCCCCCAAAAAAAAAAAAAAGAAAAAAAAATTCGGCCTGTGCCAAGGAGACCTAGGGTTTCTCCTATTCCATCCTGTAATGTTTTCAGAGTGTCTGCTTTGACTCCGAGGTCTTTGATTCACTTGGAGTTGATTCTGGTGCAGGGTGATATATAGGATCTAGCTTGAGTTTTCTACAAGTGATTAACCAATTTTACAACTGGCAAACTTTTGAGTTTGATGGTCCAGAAGTTTTTAAATTCTCATTCTCAAGATACAATGTTAGTAGGAATAGGGGTCTGCGTTGGCAGTTACTTCCTGTTGGAACATTGCATCGTCTTCTGGAGAGAGATCAGTGATCTTCATTCCAACAGAATCTCTTCTACTCTGGATGCTTTTTTTTTTTAATAGCCATTTAGAAATTGTATCTGGACATTTAAAAAAACATGGTCCTCATTTTTGCATTTCACTATTATGTGCTCTTCATTAATTGGATTCTTTTTTTGTTGTTGTTATTTTTTTGGGTCCGGTGATGGGGCTTGCACTCTGGGCCTGGGTGCTGTCCCTCAACTCTTCAGCTCAAGGCTAGCACTCTTCCACTTAAGCCACAGCGCCACTTCTGGCTTTTTTCTTTTTGCTTATGTGTGCTGAGGAATCAAACCCAGGGCCTCATGCATGCAAGGCAAGCGCTCTACCCGAGCCACCATTAATTGGATTCTTTTGTTTTTTGAATTCTTTATATAATGTGGACATTAATCCCATCAGAGGAGTAATTGGAAGAGATTTTCTCCCATTCTGTAGTCCATCACCTATGGTAATTCTTTTCTGTGGTTGTTGATGATGGTGATACGCAGAAGCTTCATAATTTGATACAATTCCTTTTGTCAAATCTGGCTTACTTCCTGAGTTACTGAAGTCTTATAAAGTTGATATATAAGAAAATTTTTACTGTTTTCTCTAGTAATCTCAATGTTTTGGGTGTTGCATTTAAGATCTTTGAGCTATTTTGAATTATTGTACAGGGTGAGAGACAGAAATTCATTTCATTCTTCTATATGTGAAGAGTTTTTCCACACTTTCTTGAAGAGGCTATAGCTATGTGGTTTAATATGGTCTGGGGGCTGTTTGGGTCCTTTTCTCTGCCTTTTAAAGAACAAAAAGGCAGAAAAGTGTAAGGTAGACAGAATTGTTTACTTGAAGATGAAGTGAGAACCATGAAAAAAATAGGAAGAATTGGTAGGCTCCCTGAGAGGGGAGGAGACCTTGCTTCCTAGATATTAGGTCCTTAATCCCCTCCCTCTCGGGGGATGTATCTGTGGTTTTATTTGTTAAGCAATGGTCACTCACTGTTGAAGGCCTTTCTGATTGGATGTAAGTTTCTGCCATACATCCTGGGCAAAAGTAGGATGGCTTACTTCCTGCTTTGTGTCTGGTCCAAGCACAGGTGCCACATTTGCTAGAACTTAAGACCTTCCTTTGTTTCCCTGCCATGTGGGCCTTTGTCCTGGTTGCCTTCTATCCCTAACTGCCCTAACTGGGGTCAAATATGTCCCTCACTGCAGCATGCTATTTGACTCTGCAGAATGATTTGAAATGAGGTATTGTGGCATCTCTAGCACTGCTTATCTTACTGGGCCTTTCTTTCCACATGCTACATAACTTCTGACCTGTGTTCTAAGTTATTACTTTCTTCTTAGCTGTCTAACCTAGTTGTTATTGTGATTTCTTACTTTACTGTGTTTTATTAAAATTTCAAATCTGTTACATCATTAGATTCCCTATTTCCTGCAGGTGTTTTCAAGTTTTACAATACTTCTAAAAAAAGAATAGGTATTTTTATGTTCATAATTTCAGTATACTTTTTCTGCTCTCATTTGTTGTTTTGTTGTGTTCATATTTCTTAGAATATTACATTAGGAATTCTTTGAGAAATTTGAGAAAGCTTGCTTAGTCTTTTGTCAGGTTAGGAAGACATTTTTTTAAAAAGTGTTTATTTCAATGGCATTCAACAGACATTTTGATGTTCATGTGCTGGTCTAAAAGACAAGAATCTCACATCCATGGATTGCCAAGTGCTCAATACCCAGAGGTCACAGGAAGGGCATGAGATGGGGAAGCAGATGACTGAACTGCTGAAAAGACTTCTTGGCAATGTTATTTTTGGAATGAGATATCTAAAGGAGGCATTGTGGCAGAGGTGTCAGAATATGCCCAGGCAGAACAGAGTAATGGAGGAAATGGCGCATTGAGTACTGCACAGCTGAGCAAAAGTGAGGTCAGTGATGGTGGCACACCAAGGCAATGTTAAGTAAGACACAGCTATCCAAGCAATATGCCCAGATCATAGAAGATGGTGGGTTAGGCTGCATTCTAGGCATTATTCTGTAGGCTACGAGAAACAGATGCTTTACTCAGGAGACAGTTGTTAGACTGTTCTGGGGGGCAGTGGAGGAGGCTAGATTGAAAACAAGAAGACTAGACAGGTGATTCATGTATTATTTTACATCAGAGGGCCTGAAACAGCAGTTGCAGAAGACACAAAGCAGTATTTAGTAGGTAAAGCAAGTTACCTTTATAGTTACTTATGGTTTGGTCCTAGGTCCCTTCTTTATGGCTGGCTGTCATGTTTTCTCTGTGAAGGTCCAGACTGTATATTACCTTAGGCTTCACAGGCCATACTCCATGTTGTTACTGCTCAACCCTGCCATGGTAGAATGAGAGCAGTCACTAGCCACAACTAAATGAGTAGACAAGGCTATGTTGTCATAAAACTACTTGCATGTATCTCCATGGCATGGCGAACCCTAGCCCAGAATTGTGCTTGTCTCTTGAATCTGGAATCTCCCAGTGATCTTAGTAAGAGGTGTTACAGTGTAGTAGTATAGGTACATAAAGCAGAGAATAAGTCATTCTGGACACTTCTCACCCTCTCTTAATTCTTTGGAAGAAAATCTAAAAACAAGGTAGATCTAGAAATGGGCATTATTTAAAGGACACAAACTTAACATTTCACTAATGGAACTAAACTTTATTTCCATGTTTATTACATCTTTATCATTGATGTTGAATACATATTAGAACTGACAATATACAACTTGGGAGAAAATCTTACATTCTCCATTGTATGGGTTAAAAAGGAATGTAAAACTACAAAATACTTGCTTAAGTGTGAGTTCTAAATTATGGTAAACAGAACAATAAATACTTTTCTATTTTCTTCTTTCTAATTTTCCAAGATGGATTTCACTATAAAAAATTTTCATAACAAGAAAGGCAATAAGGGGTAATCATAAAAACCATTTTACTTTATAGTAAGTATAGGGTACAAATAACTTAAGAGTCTTAACACAGAACTCCTACCCCTATTTAGAATATGAACTGAGGATTAATTCATTAATGTCAACTACAAATCCAATGTTTTAAACCCATATATGCCATTTGCTTTTCTAGTCAGGAAGAGTTAGGCTGATTTAAGATTGACACACAGCACAATTTTATTTGACAATCACAGTAACCATTTGGTGCTCAGAATAGGGATGGCCAAATACCAATGGCTTAGTGACAGAAATTCAGAATGAATTCATTCCAAATGGTTCAGAGCTAACAGAAGTAATCATCCTTCTTCCTGGGCTATGTTCAGGTACAAATGTACAGACTTTAACATTCACTGAAAGTTGGCTGCTGAAATTCACAGAACATAAAGAATACTGCCTGTAGTATAATTCCAATGTTTACAACATGGAAAAAATTATTGTGGTTATCAAGGCTGTTATTGGCAATAAATATACTTTCAATTCTCTATAAACCCCTTAACATACTTTGTGAAGGTGTGCCTTTTTAATGATTTTACATAACTATATTAAAAGTTAAAATAACCTTTTATTATGGATTATAGCATGAAGATGCTCACTATATGTGAATATTGCTTATTGGTCTAAGTGTTCAGAATTATCTGTAAAAACCTATATTCCTTTTAATGCCACTATAACACATTGCTCAGAATAGTTCACCTCATTAAGTTCTCATGACAGAATAGTTAGTTAAAAACAATTTTCTTATGTAACTTCTTAGATAATTTATGGCCTTAGAACTTTACATTTACTGTCACGTTGTTAAAGCTTTTATAAACTAGCCTTCTAATTCCAGACTCTTAAACCAACATTATTCCTGCCCCTGCTCTGAAGAGCATGGCTGGCAAACTTCGCAGTGATTTTGTGAAAAGGCTATATAATAAACATTTCAGGCTTTGTGGATTAAATTGTCTTTGTCACAACTTCTGCCACTGTAGTGGGAAAGCATCCACAGATATATATGTACTTACACATAAAGGAGCAGTCTTTGAGATTTGGATTGTGGGGCATAGCTGGCTGACCCTTGCCTTAGAAGAACAGACCTACGTAGATGAGTCATTTGCCAAGAAAATGGTCTCTACTCAGATGTGAAGACTGACTCAATCTTGCAGTTAATTACTCTTTAACATTTGGGTGTTGAATGTTTTAAATTTAGCCAACTTTATATTTAGTTAAGACACTTCAATCAAAAGTTCATGTTAGCCTGCTTTTCACTGGGGATAACTTATCCTTATTTAAGAACCTGATTGTTATTGAGGGATACAATTTAAAATTTATAAATGATGTCCATACAGTTTAATAGCCAATTTAATTTTTTAAAAAAACTTAATGAAAAATATAACAGAATCAAAACACTTAAAACGAGTACACTCACTACCCATTCCAGTAAATCATTTTAGTCATACCAACTATAGAATATGAAAAATAAATTCAGAAGTGTAATTACTTTAAAATACACTACTTCCACTTTTGTCAATATTTTACATTTATGTATATATTCTATAGTGGAAGCAGAAATTCTCTCTAAAAACATTATCTCCTTAAAATCTTGAGGTGCATATTAGAGCCACAGGCAATACCTGACATATAAAATTGCAGTACAGGCCTTTCAAATTTGGCATTTCACTGATACATTACAATGACCAAGGTATATAACTGTACAGTGCCTAGACATTCCAGTAAGAACCATTATTTTCTTTAAGGTAGAATGATTAGTACATCTTCTACAAGGGGCAGTGAGGTTAGTAATTCTATAGGGTATGTCTTGACATAATTTCCAAATTGTACAATAACACAAACAACTTTGTTAAGGCCATGTTTTATTTGCTGATTAATGGACAAAAGGCAATGTAATTTATTTTCAAGTATTTTTCTTGAAAGTCTGTGCTCATAAAAATCATGAAAAGTTGGAAAGACTGTTAAATCATTGAAACTTTAAATATATCTTACACAATCTTGTTTGTACAAAAATACAAGTTAAATATAAACATAAAGCAATCATGGTAATTTTATGCAAATCTGTTTTATGTGATCTTTAGTTACATATAAAAGTTTCTCAGTTCTGTTATTTGTGAAAAGATCAATACCAGATTGAGTTACTATCTACTGGCAAAGGGCCCTAAAAAGCTCATTTTAGCATTAATCTTTTACATGGTTATGTGTATTTCCTAAGCTGAGATCACTTAGACACTGGAAAAAAAAAGGGCAGTATGTCCATAAACCAACAAATAATTTGGCTGTAATGTATCATAAAACACAAAGAATTCCCACATAGCTGTACAATAAACATTACGCATTACATACACACAGGTGTGTATACAGGCATGTATACACACTCACACACACGCACACCCAGGCCTAAGGCAAAGCCTAATGAGGGGCTGCTTCCAGTTCCATATTCAGCTGTGCATTTTTTCTGACTTCATCAAATGAGTAGCTTTTTGTCACCTTCCCATTCTTGAAAACAGTATGTAGAAGATCCTACAGAAATGTAAATTTAATAACTATTAAGAGATATCAAGTGGAAAATTGGAACCACACTTTGATGACTTTGCCTTATTACTGAAATACAAAAGATGATGACGGCGCTCGAAAGTTGGTAAGGTTACAATATGACAATCTTAGGTCACTTTTCTTAAAGGAAAACCAAAAAGCCTGGTTGGCCCATCTTTCCAAGTGGCAGCTTGGAAAGTGGCTGCTGTTCACCATTGCAGACAGAGCAGCAGGACAGCCTGCCAGCACCAAACCTCTACATGCAGGCCAACAGATTTAGCACTGGTTATATACTTGTCCATCTAAAACTTGTCCATTCAATTTTGACCTAAAAATAAAAACAAAAAATCCAAATTCCTAACAAAAACAAGTATTGATTTCTTGTCCCAAGACTAGGGAAAATAATATCTAGGCTAAGACTCCATATATTCTAAAAATCGTAATAAATATATAATACATAATCATAATAAATACATAATACATAAAATCACTTAAAAACCTAGACAAAGGTAACATAGATGAGAAAATGAAGTTTAAACCTCTGGGTTCAGAACACCCACTTCTCTCTTAGTAAGGAGTTAATTGTTTCCTTTTAAGAAATGCACCGATAAATCTTACTTTTCTATCTAGTCTGAAAGTACACAGGAATATAATACTTTTGCATTGCTTTTAATAACACTGCTCTGGCTGTACTATTTTCTTTCATTAACTTAAACTACCAGTGAATGCTGATTCTTATTCCTTAATCAAAATGCCTGCAAACAGATTACTAACCTTAGATGCTCCAGTATCTCATTCATGGAATTAGGCTTTTATTTGGAATTAGTCTCAAGTGACTAGGTCATGGTAGATAAGCTAATGTGACAAAAATCCTGGCAGCCCCAACAGTTAAGTGAAACCTACTCAAAGATTGTCTGGAGACTATATAAAAGGATCTAATTCTAAATGTTTGATTTCTTAATGTATTTTTCCTCAGTTACTTCACTAATTCCAGCCAAAATCTTAATAATGTAACAGATATAAGTAATAAATTTGGCACAATAATAGATTTAAAAACCTGAGTGTATTTGTGGTTAGTGTAAACTTTTGGGAAAACACGAATTTGAGATTTTTTTCCCTCTATAATGAAAAAAAAATTAACTCTAGTTCTAGTGGCTTTTTTTTTTTTTTTTTTTTTTTGGTGCTGGCTCTGGGCTTGAACCCAGTTGCAGGCCTTGTGTTGTCTGGCTTTTTTGCTCAAGGATGGTACTCTTGAGCCACAGCTCCACTTCTAGCTCTTTTTCTTGTTAACTGGAGACTCACACACTTTCTGCCCAAGCTGGCTTTGAACTGTGATCCTCGGATCTCAGCCTCCTGAGTAGTTAAAATGACAGGTATGAGCTACTAGTGCCCAGCTAAAACAGTGGTTTTGAAACCAGAAAATTTCTAACTTTTGAATATATGGATATAAATACATCTTTGTACTTTAAAAACCATCTGATTATAAAGACTACTTTAGCATATATTTTTTTGTAGTTTGGTTGACTTTAATCAGAAACCTTAGTTAAGGTTTCATCATTTATTAGTTATGTAATCAGAATCAACTCATTCTGTTTTCATAGTTAAGGACAATTTAATTTGTGTTTTTTAGATCAGAAGAGTGCTGTGAAAAATCAAATGACACTAATGAAAAATGATCTGAACTGGATAGTAATAAGTTTTAAAAATAATTACCTTCAAAAATATTTTAGATTTTGGATAAGCTATTTAATGTATTACCATAAGCTGTACTTTAGAATACAAACAAGCTATAAGAAGTCTAATAAAATCCCGCTAAGTATTCCTCACACTGTTTCCTAAGGAATGAGTCACTGTTGGTTGAAAGATAAAGACTAAATTTACACAAGCTAGTCATCAATCACTACCATGCTGGCCATTATGGCAAAAAATAACTTTATTGTCACAAAACCACTCTGAAAAAAATTTAAAAATAAAACATAAAAATATTAATTTGGAGAGCAAACCCAATTCTATAAAAAAAAAAAACAAAAACCCTAATTAGTAAAGATACATACGTGACCATATTCCTCAAGGTCTCCTTTTCCTTCCTCTAATGTAACAAAATTCCCAGCTGGTGTCCTATGTAAAGATAATCGGCCCTTTTTGGACCTTTTGTTGGGATCAGCAACTGGGTCTTTGAAGACATTAATCTGAAAATCAAGTAAGCAACAGAAAGATTCAGAAAACCCCAGGAAACTCAGGGGTAGAACACTAGCCCAGCCAGCATGTGAAAAAGTCATGGCTTTGCCCCAGCACCATTTACAGACACATACATATTGTTCTATATAAATATGTAAGTTTTACACTTACAGGGTTAATTGAACAAATCCATATCTGACTTTCGAAATATAACTCTTTAGCTTGTTTGAAGGGCTGTGAATTGTGATGAAAAAAAAAAGTCTGATATTCCATTTAAGTATCTTTGAGAATTATAAAATCTGTGATCCTTAAGATACAAACTGCATTTAAACTAATGACAAAAAAAGGAATTATGCTGCAATTATATATGTACACATATACAGGATCTGTAAGACTTTTGAAGGGGGGAATTAAGATATTATATAGGATAAAAGCTTTCTCTTTTATAACCTTTTTCTTCTGTTCTTATTACTATTACCTTGAAATCGTCAGAAGTAAAACTTCTGAAAACCCAAAGAAAGCAGAATGTTTGCTTCAGAATCAGAAAGGTAGCAAAACGTAACAGATGCTACCAGCAATCACAGTGAGAAGCAACAAATGAGACAACCCCAAAACTTTCCAAAGTTAGGTGAGAGAGTCCATAAAGAACCACCTCAGGCTGGGCTCTGGTAACAGATGCCTATAATCCTAGCTACTTAGGAGGAGGCTAGAGCTGAGGATTGCAATTTGAAGCCAGCCTAGGCAGGAAAAGTCCATTAGACTCTTATCTCAAATAACTACCAAAAAGCAGGAAGTGGAGCTGTGGTTTAAGTGGTAGAGCACTAACCTTGAACAAAGAAGCTCAGAGACAGTGCCCAGGCCCTGAGTTCAGGCACATGCACATACACATACAAACACAGAACCAATGTAGGTTTACCTGAGAGTCTTAGCTCCCCCATCCACTGCTCCACTTAACTTCCCTTCCCTCAAGATAGTTAAAGACTTGGGAGACTGTACTTGGTACCTGAATATGATTCTGGTGTCACAACTGGAACTTCATATTCAAAGAGTTGTTGACACTGCTTACATACTTTATTTTTTTGCTTTTACTTCCCTTTTATGTTTTAAGCAAAATGTTGGAGTTAATATATTGAGGGATGGTGAGGCTTAAAGCAAATAATGCCTGTGTGCTTTTAATCAGGCTACTCAATAATAGTGTCTGTCTGAACTTCTGGCTATGGTTTCCCAGGCCGTTTCCTGGCTTCAGTGAGATTTCTTATGCATCGTCATACAATATATTTGGTATTATTCACCTCCATCATCTCTTCCTTCTCCTTTTTTTATCTCCCCAAACAGTCTCATAATTACACTAAAGTTCTGTGCCTATCTATATCACCTTTATTATCTCTGATATATGATGGGCAGATTAGCTTACATTCTTATTCAAATATGGCCAATTTTTTTTTTTTTGGTTGGTTGTGGGGCTTGAACTCTGGGCCTGGATGCTAGCACTCTACCACTTGAGCCACTGTGCCACTTCCAGTTTTCTGATGGTTTACTGGAGATAAGAGTCTCATAGACTACAGACTTCCCTGCCTAGGCTGGCTTTGAACCATGATCTTCAGATCTCAGCCTCCTTAGTAGCTAGGATTATAGGCGTGAGCCACCAGCAACTGGTGTGGCCAACTTTTTGATCCAAAGGTATGGGAACATGATCTCTCAAATAATGTTTACTTCATTGGTTCTCCTTTATCCAAGTTTCTTCCTCCTTCATCATGTTATTACCTTATTTCTTCTTTTCTTTTTCTAAGTTGAGGTCAGTAATATCTAACAGTGGACCATGCTGTCCTTGGACTATTGCACTCAATAACTAAAAGAGGATGCTAACATGGGAGTAAAAGCTGAAGGACATACCCCAAGGCCATTAGTTACGACATAGCTACACTTAAAGGAACAATTCAAAAGATCTCTTGTCAACTTCTGTAGCAAAGCTCCACCAGAACCAAAAGAAACATTTTCAATACTCCACTTCTTTTGTTTCATGCCTTCTACAATCTAGAAGATTAAAAACAGACAAAACCTAAATAATTTGGAAGCAGATGAAGGTTATTTTCAAGGAACAATATTAACAAATAAAGCACCCTGGAGAAGTATTGCCAACAGTCAATAATAAGGCTTATTCAGTTACATTCTACATTTTCTTTTTAAAGACCCATCCAACCTGAGGGGATCCAATCCCCTGAGGGGATTTCTTTCATAGTTCTGAATTTGTCTTGTCATCATTGTGGTTAGGTTGGGAGAGAGAAGGAAATGAGAGGGAGGGTGAAAGCTGGCTATAAATATCAAGTTTACTTGAATAGATGTCTTTTATCCACCTTCATATATTACTGCCCTGATGCCAGCAGCAACAGAAATGGGACCAAAACATTTGCCACAAATTACAAGCCTTCAGAGATGACTCCATCACTGACAAGTCACAATATATTATGTGTATTAGTTATATTGTGTGGCATGGGTAGTGGACATGGAAGTCAGTGGTAATAGAAACAATAAGAATACAATAATATTCCTTTCACATAAGCAGTTATATTAGGGTCATTTTAAAGTGGCTCACAGTAAAAATATGGTTTTAAAATTACAAGTGGATCATTTTAGAGTGTATGATTATTTACAAGCCAAAAAGAACTGTCTAACGCAGTTTGGGTAGTTAAAATAGTTTTTTCAAGGGGTAGATCTAAAAACTGCATTGAAAAATTGTTTCTTATCAATGGCATTCGTATTTCTTTCCTCTAAGTGGGATTTGTTTACCTACAATCTGCCTCTTATTTAACAAATCCCAAATTCTAAGAGTGGCACACATCAAAATGACAAGAGGTTTATGACAGATGATGTTATGATATTAGTTGTATTCTCAATTTCTAATGAAGTATTTAAGGTAATAATTAAAATAAGTTACATGGGGCTGGGAAGGTAGCTCAGTGGTAAGAGTGCTTGCCTCCCAGGCATGAGGCCCTGGGTTTGATTCCTCAGCACCATATAAACAGGAAAAGCCAGAAGTGGCGCTGTGGCTCAAGTGGTACAGCACTAGCCTTGAGCTGAAGAGCTGAGGGACAGCCACCCACAGGCCCTGAGTTCAAACCCTATGACTGACAAAAAACAAACACTAATAAGTTCCTAAAAAACTTAATTTCAGAAACACAAAAAGGAAAGTTTTTAACATAACATAGTACATTATTTAGCTGGATCTAACAATAGTGACAGTCAATACTTAATTTTTGAAGAGATACGAAAACCATTTTATAATTTCTGAAAAAGTACTCAATATCAAATTTTATATTGTTAAGAATATATGAAGCTCTATCTACATAATTAAAACTCAAAGACTGTGACTTTTTGTTTCTTAGTGGTATGTCTTTACAATCTAGGATAGCAAATGAGGCCTGGACAAATGTGTTTTGGTGCCTTTATATTTTAAGCTATTATTTCTAAATTTTAAATCCATAGGAAAGACATAATTCATATTCACAACTGTTTTCAAATGCTTTAAAATTAGCTTAGCTGTAAGAATTTTCTTATTAGAACTTTCAATATAAAACTTACTTCTTGTAAGGTATTAATATCAACTCCATCCCCTTGAATAACTCTAAGATAAGGTGGCAACAACTTGTAGCCCTTAGAGTTCTCAATGACAGGGAACTTCTTACCTAAAATATCTAAAACCTGCATGAAACAAAAACATGAGACACAAATAACTGACATTGGAAAAAAAATACAAAAGCCAAAAAATTAATGCTTTATAAAACTTAGACCCAATCCTTTTAAATCATATTAGAAACAAGTATGCTATTTCCTACTGAAGTTTCACACGAGAACATGGCTCAAAACAGGTTTCTTCCTTCACATCTTTCAAATCACAGGTTCAAGGGGAAATTTCATTGTATTAGATTAAAACAAACTTTTGAGTGTACATCTCATTTGAGTTATGCTTGTGCTCAACAGTTTTGTTTTTGTCTGACATAAATATAAATGCATTTGAGTCACAAATGGATTTATATATATTTTTTTTTTTTGGTCGGCCGTGGGGCTTGAACTCTGGGCCTGGGCGCTGTCCCTCAGCTCTTCAGCTCAAGGCGAACGCTCTACCACATGAGCTACAGCGCCACTTCCTGGATTTATATTTTTATCAGAGAAACTGATAAGACTAAGCTGGAAATGAATCATCTATATAGTTTCTCTAAGGTTCTTCTATTAAAGTTACGCTGCACAGACATGTAAAACACACTTCCCAGTCATTTACTAAAAGTTCTGTAGCAGCTAAAATACTGAAACATAGACTTAAAAGTTTTCAGGAAAACTCAGTCAGATACAAAAATCTATACACATTTCCTTCCCTGGGTCTATCACTTCCTTCTCAATGAACTGTGTAAAGAACCTAGTGATATGAAAACTGCATGGAGATAACTCAGGTTGTTCTTTTTTTATTATGCAATGATAAAAACATGAGAACTGTTTAGTTTGCTAAACAAATATTTCAGGCTAAGGTGTTCAGAGTGGTGTACCATTTAATAGCACTTAAAAAGACTTCCTTGTGTCTATGTCCACCCCCAACCCACCCCAAGAGTAACATCATCTGCTCATTAGCTGAGAAAATCATTGGTAGAGAAGCTGCAGTCAAAGACCTACACAGTATACTCGGGCTCCATATTTTATATGTTGTGCGACAAGTAACAATTTACTTTAACCTAGTCTCTAAACATTTTTCTTCGTTAAAACATACAGTGTTCATTATATGACTTTTTTAAAGCACCTAACATTAGCATTAGAAAAAATTTAAAGGCAAACTGAATCCTAAATACTCAAAAATACATTACTACATTAACAATGGTGTCTTTTTCAGAACGACTTGAGAAATTTTGTGTGCGTGTCTACATGCACACATGTGTGTGCACTGTTGGTGGGGCTTGAACTCATGGCCTGGGTGCTGTCCCTTAGCTTTTTTGCTCAAGGCTGGTGCTGTTACCCCTTGAGCCATAGCGTTTCTTCTAGTTTATTGGTGGTTAATTGAAGATAAGAGTCTCATGGACTTCTCTGCTTGGACTGGCTTTGAAATGTGATCCTCAGATCTCAAAACTCTTGAGTATCTAGGATTATAGGCATCAGCCACTGGCACCCAGCTTGAAACATATATATATGTATTTTTTTGGGGGGTGGGGGTGGGGGTCCGGTTGTAGGGCCTGAACTCTAGGCCTGGGCGCTGTCCCTCAGCTCTTCAGCTCAAGGCTAGCACTCTACCACTTGAGCCACAGCACCATTTCCAGCTTTTTTCTTTTTGCTTATGTGGTGCTGAGGAATTGAACCCAGGGCCTCATGCATGCAAGGCAAACGTTCTACCACTGAGCCACCTTCCAAGCCCTGAAACATATTTTTGAATTATCTTTATTCCAATGTATTTCTTCTGTACTAACTTTAAGCATTTTACAATGACTTGTTATAAAAGAAACCACAATTTGGTGATCAGATCAGAGATTGATTAAAATGGCAATGCTATTAATTTGGAAGACACATAACAAAGACTCTATTCAGCAGCGCCTAATTGTCTACTTGACAGTTTATAAACACTCCATTAACTCTTGGTATTCTTTCTCTGCTATTAATGTATGACCTTGGGCAAATCTATTATTCTCTCTGATTTGCAACTTTCAAACTAAGGACACTGGTCCAGAAAGCTTTTAAATGACAAGTAGTGTTGATATATCTGGTCTATCGGCAATTTCATAATCAAGTTAAGATGTTAAAATTTACCTTTAATACAGTGTCAAGAGGATTTCCAGAATCAGGTCTGATAATTAGTGGTGCTTCTGTACTTCTTGATACTATCAAATGTCTTAGATCTTCACCCCATATTTTCTCACACGCATTATAAATGTCATAGCTATCGCTGACCACAGATACAGGCACTGATGAAAACTGTGTCACTATATGTTCAAAAGCATCTTTTTCATGATCTTTCCCCCAAGCTGTTATGGTACTAGAAAACAAAATAAAAACACAAGTTTATATAGGCAAGATATATACTCCTGAAGCACCATTAACTATTATGTTTGCTATACTACATCACGAATAGGTAAGGGGCTTAGTTTAATACATGTACGTCAGAAGGCAAAAGGACTATTTGTGTTACACCATCCTTTGGCCAATTTGTTTTTAAACCACAAATAACAATATTCTGCTTCAGTAGTTATTTACTTTCAACTAATAATGAGCTTTTGTGTGTATGTCTGTGCTTTGTTCATTATTCCCAAATCTTATTTAAAAGCAGTAAGCTTAAACACTTGATAAATGCCTCCCTACTTCTCTCAAGGAAATTAGAAAGAATAACCTCATAATCCCCTTACTTTGCTACATGGCAAACTCTTGGCTTCTGAAGCCATATACCAACAATAGAAATACAAGCTTTATTTATTTATTTTTGTTTGTTTCTTTTTGGTCGTTCATGGGGCTTGAACTCTGGGCCTGGGTGCTGTCCTTCAGCTCTTCAGCTCAAGGCTAGCACTCTACCACTTGAGCTACAACGCCACTTCTGGTTTTCTGGTGGTTTATTGGAGATAAAAGTCTCGGACTTTCCTGCCTGGGATGGCTTTGAGCCATGATCCTCAGATCTCAGACTCCTTAGTAGCTAGGATTACAGATGTGAGCCACTGGCGCCTGGCCAAGCTTTGTCTTTTTTACTTTAACTTTGTTACAACTTCAGATGGCCAGTAATAGAGGCACTTATCACTTAATTTACTCATGGAATGCAGATCTTAATTACTTTGGGGAAAAAACATACTTAAAATGGGAAAATATAAGAGTTTCTAATAGGCAGAAATGTCCTCAGTAATGCTTTTCCTTTTAAATAGAATATCTAATGTATAATTGGTTAACTAATATATAAGTAAAGAAATTCTTAAATAGTAATTTTCACATTGATGACTAAACCCTATTTCCTTATATAAATCAATTTTTATTTCCCTGCTAACTTTCTAATCTTGGCTTTCACCCTATTTTCCCCAGTAAAATAATGAAAAGTAAGTAGCCCATTCATTGCAAAGTCCAAGTAGGTATTAATTTACCTCAAACCTGTGTTCAGTAAAACTGGTAATAGAATGCCCCTTAAATGCTCCCATGTGAAGACTGGTAGTGCTGTGGGTTAGTGGAAGGAAGGTCACTGGGGTGAGACCCTGTTTCCCAGCAGCCAGAAGATGAGCAGCTTTGCTCTGCCACTGAGGACTGCCCCTCCACTGACTGCAATGGGGCTAAGTGACCACAGACTTAAGACTTCTGTAACCATTAGCTAAAAGAAATATTCAGCCTTAATTGGGACTAGCAAAACACCACTAAATTTAGGTCTGAAATTGCCAATTTTCAGTCAGTCACGGGGCTTGCTCAAGAGTCTAGGCGCTGTCCCTGGACTTTTTACTCAAGGCTAGTGCTCTACCACTTGGAGCCCCACAGCTCCACTTCCAGTTTTCTGTTGATTATTTGGAGATAAACATCTCACGGACTTTGTTGCTTGGGCTAGCTTCAAACCGTTATCCTCAAATCCAAACCGTGATCCTCAAATCTCAGCCTCCCTAGTAGCTAGGATTATAGGGGCGAGCTACCTGTCAGTGCCCAGGTTGCAATCACTATTTTATACAATTCTGTGTACTACTGTTTGTAGTACACAGGGAGTAGCTGAGTAGGCATACTTCAACATTATCAAGACTTGGCTACTGAGAAACTGTCTAAAAATAAGATAGGGCTTGTTTCATAGTGGATGCTCTTCTTATAAACTAGAAGCTGTTGGTAGTTGTGATGTCACTTCTGCACTTCAAATAAGCATCTGCAGGCCAACAGGAGAAGTAGGATAGGGATGAAGGGAAAACCCTGTCTTATGTTCATAATAGCAACTGTCCTCTTTGTAAAGGGTGGAACCAGCTCAATGATCAACAATACTAGAAAGCTTCCAGTGTAAGAATGAACTCCTAGAGTTACAGGAGTTCACTGTGTATGTTGTTACTATTTACTATCACTGGTCATCTAGCTCTATTTTCCTGTGTATCATGTCTAGCAAACAATTTCCAATTTGAGTTCTCATCTTACTTTACTGACCGTCCTTGACCTTCAAGATACATCTTGAGCATATCAGCTTTTTGAAATTTCTTTCTTTCTGTGATCTTCAGTGTGCCCAAGATGCAGCTTTCTCCTTCTTCCATCTAACCTGATTCTGACCTGGCACTTTCTCTCTTTAACTGCTTGCTGTGTAAAACACTAAGTGTTCAAAATACCCAGTGTGATAGATCCCACTATTTGTATGTTTTCTTCTGGGCTCTATAGCCCACTATTTCTATGTTTCTTCTGGGCTCTATATCCCACTATTTGTATGTTTCTTCTGGGCTCTTGATCTACTTTGTTAGGTAGGAGCTTGAATACCTTCATCTCATCATCCCGAAGACAGGTCTTATGGCACCCAGTGACAAGTCCATATAGAACAGTGTTTCTGTACTTGTTGAGTGAATTTGTGAGTATAAACCATACTTACCTAATTTCAAACATCAAATTAAATACCATTCAATACCTTTCTAGAGTTTGAAGAAAAAGTTATACAACTGATTATTTCTACATCAATGAATTATTTCTAAATTTACTGAGTTCTCTTATTGTGAAGTTATTTCAGATGTCAACATTTATCTTTAATGGCTTACTGTTTTCAAATTTTAGCTCCTCTTTTTGTTTGGTTGGATAAAAGAACTAAAGAGAGAGATAAATGACTTGCCCAAGGTCAACCAATGTCAGCTGTCACTTAGTTTTCCAATTTCAATGCTCTTTTATTATGTGCTACATCGTTTAAAAAGTGTTCCTGCCGAAACATTCTTACATGTTAAAAAGTAAAATACAGTGAATAAAAAGTAAAATATAGTGAATATCATAAGGAATCATAAAAATAGATTTATATGTGGGCAGAGGGAACATCAATGTTTTTTTTCATTATCACATGAAAGTCCTAAAGAAGATACTGCTCTGAAACAATCAGAGAATAAGTCTAACATGTGACTGCCACATATTCTTAAAAGATATACAGACATATATGCCCCACATTAAGTTATTCTAAATCTAAACCTCATGTAAAAGTTTCTGAATAAGCCATACCAATACAGCAATGCTCAGAAATGTTACTGAATCTTCTCCACTGAATCCTAATTCAAATCATCAAGTTTTAGCAGTTTTAGCCACTAAACTACTGTTCGTGCTTATCTACTTCTTTCCATTCATTTAGCTACTTGGTTCTGGGCCTTAGCACCTTAATACTATTTTAAGTTTCTAAGCTTGTTTTTTCTTTAGCTGTACTGGGATTTGAACTCAAGGCAGGTACTCTAATCCCTTGAACCATGCCATTAGCCTGGCTAAAATCTGTGTCTGATAATTTTTCACAAAAACATCAGAACCTGCTCCCACTTGAAAATGCCTAGGTAAGAACAAGCTAGTATGATGTGCACTCAGTAAACTTCGATATCAAAATAAACTTGAAGGATCTTATTAATTATAATCTGCCATCAATCTACTCTGTCTTCTCTACAAAGTCTGAGTCCCTGAACACAACACTGTTATCAACATGTGTGACACATGACAAAACACAAAAACATTGCTCAGACAATGATCACCCAATGCCTGCCTTTCATTTCCTTGTTTAACTTTAAGAAGTCACTATTTCACATACTATCTCTATAAAGCTTTCTTGATCCTACCTGGGGAATATGATCCTTCTTCTCCTTGCTATATACCATTGTAGAACCTTACTGTTACCTCTTTAAAAGTACTTAACCAACAGAGCATACTGTTACTAGTGTACTGTTTTTATCCTGAGGATAGGGTCAGTTCTTTTTATCTTTACTGTGCCTTGCAGAAGAAAGCTGGTCAAACAACATGTATCAAATAGCAATAATAATGCAGATTAGCTTTATTCTAGACTCACTATTAGTTGTAGGGCCTGCAATTTCCAAGCAGGAGTAAAACTTAATATTCCTGACTGATTATAGTAAATAATTCTGTCATAAGAACCAGAAATAAGGTTTAATATGCATTTTGAGTAAAGTTAATTTTAGGACCAGGGCTGCTGCAAGCTCAATTTCATTTGACATGGTATAGTTTAGTAAGAGGAAATAATGAAGTAGAAGAATCTGAACTCTTCTTTCATTGAAAGAGTTTACTTGCTTGTCTAGATGACAATTTCCCAGGGCAAAGACAGATGAAGTCATGAAAAAAGGTAAGGGAAAAAGTGAACAGTACTTCAAGTATTTTGGACTTCATTTAATAAAGAAAAAGCTATCTGTATACGGCAACATAGCAAAAGAAAAAAAATCACCTAAAATCAATTTGGCAATGTTCGAAAAAAAGATCCTAAATTGCTTTACTAAAAATTCTGTATCTTCCAAATACTAATCTTTATACAGAGATTAAATACTAAATTTACTAATGTTTATTACAGTACCTGGTTCTGTAAAGCAAAATTGCTCAGTGACAAATACCAAATAGGGGAAAAAATAGGTTCAATGTTTAACAGTAGTATAAAAAAATAAGAATTTTACCTGTGTTCTGCTGCTGGTACAGAATAGCCTGGAACGGGATCTTTTGTTCCATAATATTTTTTAATTAGAGCAATTCCTGCTACTGTATCTGTTCCTTTGAAGTTAACCAAATGTGCAGATGCCCCAATGCCAGCAGTCTAGAAAATTACCATAAACCAAAATTAACAATAGAAAATTCCAGATTTGTCCCACTCCCATTTCCCTCTGTTCTCTTACCCTGCCAGTGCTTATGTTTCTCTGTAACATTTTATCTAATATTATCATCATTATATATCTGGTATACATATATCATCTGTCCATCCTTTCAACTAATGTATAAAGGACTTGAGACATGTGCTGAAAGCTACATATCCCATGTACCTTGAATAAAGTCTGACACATAGTATTCTGTATGTATTTGTGGACTGGGTCTTTGGAAGTTCAAAAGGTGGCCTACTTCAAAAAAAATGTCAATTCAAATAAATGTCCTCAAAGTTTGTGGTATTACTGTTAACTGGTAATCTACATTTTATTAGATGAGATTCATTTCACGTCCTTACCTCTTGGGAAGAGACTCCTCTGTAGCCAAAATCATGTAATTTGTATTCCAGACCATCTAAGTTCCCAGAAGTTTCTAATAAATATCTGGCCAATATTTTCTTCTGCTCCCTAGAATTTGTGGCAACTGTGATTGGATACCAGGACTGAACAAGAATAGTCTGTAATAACAAATTTTAACAACAAACATTAACACATAAAATCCTGAGTTCTTTTAGGAGAAGAGCTTTCTCTTCAGGATACCCTGAAGAGGTAAAGGGTCTAGGATATCCTGGATTTTAGCACTATTAGAAATATCAGTTATACATTCCAACTAAACAGTAGGATGCCTACTGTGTGCATTTCAAAGCAAGTCAACAGCAAAGAAGGTGAGTATACTAAGCCTTAACAGTATAGTTTCCAAAGCACCAAAGAAACCAATCATTTTTTTAAGATTGTGCTAAACACTAATTTAAAAAAATTCCATCTGTTAAGGGCCAATAGCTTAATAAATTGCTGTTAGGCTTTAAAAATGCTTATTCTTAATTTTGCATTTAATGTAGACCTGCATCAAACAGATGATAAACGAGCATTGGTTTAGAGATTAGATCTTGAATACTACTAGCTTTTCTTTTTTCTTTTTTCCAGCTCTTCCCTCCATTTTTTTGTTTTATTAGTACTGGAGTCTGAATGCCGGGCCACTTTTACTACACCTTTAGTCCTTTATGGTGCTCACTTCTTTTGAGATAGGGTTTCATTTCTTGCCTGGGCTGGGATATACCTATTTTACGTTTCCTAACATAGCTAGCTGGATAACAGGCATGTGTCACCATATCCAGCTCTTCTTTGAGTCTCATGTACTTTTCTGTCTGAGCTGGCCTCAAACTGCATTCTTCCCAGTCTCAGCTTCTCTCAAGTAGTTAGAACTATAGGCATGAGACAATGGTACCTGGCTTTAATAATACTAGTTACTTATTTACTTCTCTAAGAAGCTCTAGGTGCACATGAATCTAACTTTTCTTGTATTTAATGACAAGTGATTAAGTCACTTGTCAAGTCACTTGTCACAAGTATCACTTGAGACACTTTAGCTTAGTACAAAAGAATCCTATTGACTTAGTGCTTTATATCCTTAGCTTTTATCCAAGTTTATAATAAGAAAGCCTCATCAAACACTGTACAATTTTTAAGTTTTTGCTTTCTTTTGTAGACTGACACAATTCTCAATAAGGAAGTGTTAAAATTGCTGGATTTCTACTTTCTTGTTTGGGTTTTTTTTGTCTTTTCCTTTTTGGTTCCGGGGATTGAACTCAGTACACTGCACTAGCTAGGCAAGTGCTTTGCACTGAGCTACATCCCAGCCCTCCCTTGTTTTCTTGACAGTCAGTGAACTCCAAAAAAATTATAATGCTTAATCAGAGCAACCATATTACTTATTTTGATTTGGGAATTCACGTCTCCATTCCTGGATAATTTTCTATTATAAGCCTAATAGCATGTTATAAGATGTAGCTTCAGATCTATTTTAGAAAACACTGCTACAAATGTCTAAACCAAACAACAACAACAACAAAATGCTTAACTTCTCATTTGAAATTTATGGAAAACCCTCCAACAATTAAAGACTAGTTAAGTGATCACTGAATAAAGCAAGTAAAAACAGCCAAAAGATTACTTAACCTTAGGCTTGCCAATGTGGTCAACTCATACTATAACATTAGACTCTTATGTGATAGACTAAATACAGTCCTGGCAGATCTCCTCCTTGAGGGATGGAGTCCATTTTCCCAGCCTTTGATTCTGGACTATTCTTATGACCTGAATGTGGGAATCAGGCTAAGAGATTTCCAATCCTTAATTTCAAGGATTTGAAGATTCTCACATTCTCTTAGAACCACCACGCTGATGTGGAGATGTAATAGTTAAATAACAAATAGTAAAAAACAAAACAAAAAACTGCCGTGCTGTGAAAAAGCCTGTTACAGAGCAAGACACTGCAGTCCCATCTCTCTGAGCTGACCATAGCTTTGGTGTGAGACCACTGTAGACTGTGTAGCCCTAGCCTTACCACAGCTGAATATACCTGCATAAATCTAATTCTGTCAACCACAGAATCATAGGATGCAACAGTTTTGGTTAGCTAATAACTATGGGGTAATTTGTTATATAATAAAATCTGATACAACTCTTAATTTATATTCTATAACTAATCTCTAACCATTCTACTCTTGAACGTTTTCTTTGATCCCACTGCCAGTGGCCAGGACTCTCCTACTTCCAGTCTTTACCTTCTAGGAAATACTGTGTTTTTCCTACTGTGACCAGTTATAACTCTAAAGCAAATTCCTTATAAACCTCTGATGGTCACCTACTATGTACAGGGAGCAAAGTGAAACTGATTAGCATGGAAGCCTTCCATAATCTTGCCATGTTTGCCATCTAAAATTTTTCTTATTACAGTTTTTATTTTTATACTGTACCTCGGTGGTAAGAGCATTGCAAGGTGTTTAGCATTGCAAGGCCCTGGCTTTGATGCTTATCGCTAAAGTAAAAATGAAAGAAAGCAACAATCTCCACTCTTGTGTTTTTATATTACCTATTTTAAAACATCTGCCAGTACAAAATTAAGATCCATTCTCTTTTAAGTTCAATTAATCCAGAGTTTTAATGTATAATACAGGCTATTAAAAACTCTTTTTTTGGTTAAATGTATATTTTTTCTGGGCATATTATTAGTTGACAGATCATGAAAAGTCTAACAACGTTTTAAATTTCCTGTCAATGTAGTATATTGACTTCTGTCTTTAGAATGAACTTCAAACTAGAATCAGTGGCTCATATCTATAATCCTAGCCGCTCAAGAGGTAGAGATAAAGAGGATTTCAGATCATGGTCAGCCTGGGCTAAAAGTTTTCAAGACCCCCAACTCAACCAACACTAGATGAGGTTGCTTATATCTATCACTCCAGCTACTCAGGAAGTGTAAATAGCAGGATCTTGGTCTAAGATGGCCTTGGCATAAATGTGAGACACTAGTCAAAAAACAATGAAATAAGAAAGTGCTTAGGGAATGGCTCAATGGTAAGAGCACCTGCCTACCAAGTGCAAGGTCCTGAGTTCAAATCCAGTATCACAAAATAAGGACCTGAAATGTACTTTATAGCATAATAACTAATAATTATTTAAATCAATAAACCAAGGAGTAGTAGTAACAACCAAGTAAATACCTCTCAGATACTAAGGTGGTATTTCTATAGTTACTTGGAAGGGTATCTTCTTTTACCTATGAAAGCCATATTAAATTGTTGGAAGTCGATTATTATAGTCTAGGCAGTAAGTACATGGAAAACATAAAAAGCTTTGTAATATAAACTAGAAGCCCATAATGTGCTTCCCTTTCAGGTTTAGAAAATAAAGCAATATGAATAGTGAATCTTGTTTATATTTAGATGAGAAGCTGAAATGTATCAAGTGGTAGAGCCTAGGACTAAACTGATTAGAAAGAATGAAGATAAAAGTTATTAAAAGTTGGAACAAAGTTCCTTTTGTCTAAATGGAACAGAATATACATAAAATGTCTTAAGTTACTAAAAATGTACTTTGTTCTAAGATAATACATATTTAGAATGTAAACAAATAAGACAAGACTGAGTTATAAGAGCAATTCTCAGAAATTTGGCTAAGCCATCACCAACTGGAAATTGAGGCCTGGAAAAGTTATTAGCACATAGAACTCAGCTCAATTATTTTGGATTAATAGTAAGAATTTTAAAAATTCACCTCAATCCAGTTTGTAAGCCAGTAGCACTCTGGGTCTGTGTTTTCTACTGTGAAGAGAACGTTTCCTCTGGGAATGACAGAGCCCTCAGGAACAGCCTTTACTTCTATTGGAAGGTGACCATCGTACTTCTGGAAAAGACAATGAATTCACTCATTGATAACACTTGACCTGTTTTATTAAAGCTTTTTACATCTTATAGAAGCGAAATCTCTAATTTAGAAATTGCAACTGTACATGTTACATTGTTAGCAAAATCTAGTTAGAATGTTCCTAAAAGAAAATTATTTAAAATTATTATTATTATTTTTATTTTGGGTCCGGTCGTGGGGCCTGAACTCTGGGCCTGGGCGCTGTCCCTCAGCTCTTCAGCTCAAGGCTAGCGCTCTACCACTTGAGCCACAGCGCCACTTCTGGCTTTTTCTCTTTTTTTTTGCTCATGTGGTGCTGAGGAATCGAATCCAGGGTCTCTGGCATGCAAGGCAAGCACTCTACCACTGAGCCACCTTCCCAGCCCCTATTTAAAATGATTAAAAACCTAGGCAATGATACTAATTTTTACACTTAACGCTATCAAGTGTCTTTGCTAACAGCACCTATTACTAGAAGAGGAAGATTATTTAAAAATGATCAAAAACAAGCGGGGCACCAGTGGCTCACACCTGTAATCCTAGCTACTCAGGAGGCTGAAATCTGAGGATTACAGTTCAAAGCCAGCCTGGACTGGAAATTCCATGAAACTCTTTTTTCCAACTAACCACTAGGAAGCCAGAAAGGCCCAGAGTTCAAGCCCCACCACACACACACACACACAGAGACACACAGAGACACACAGAGACACACACACAGAGACACACACACACACACACACACACACACACACACACACACACACACACACACACACACACACACACACACACACACACACACACACACACACACACACACACACACACACACACACACACACACACCCCAAAAAACAGGGCTGGGAAGGTGGCTCAGTGGTAGAGCGCTTGCCTTGCATGCATGAGGCCCTGGGTTCAATTCCTCAGAACCACATAAGCAAAAAGAAAAAAGCCAGAAGTGGCGCTGTGGCTCAAGTGGTAGAGCGCTAGCCTTGAGCTGAAGAGCTGAGGTACAGTGCCCAGGCCCAGAGTTCAGACCCACGACTGGACCCCTCCCCCCCAGAAAATAACCCAGTATTTTCTCTGTTGTTACATAAATTGGAACATCATAGTCTAAAAGTATTCCAAGAATGAACTTTATAGTCACTTTCTCAAGTGAAAGGCTAAAGACAGTAGGATAAGTGACTACTATTCAAAAGTAAAACAATACAAATAAGTTTTGTATTATTATGCCAGTAGACCTGAAAGCAGACAGGTTAATCATAGAAACTTAGCATTCAACACTCAAGTCTGATATGAGTTCTTACTAATTCAATAATTTCCTCTAAAATTAGGCATGTTATTTTGTTACATAGAGTGCTGCTAGGAATTTAACTGTAACCACACTTGTACAGCTCCCCTCCTGCTCGTGCGTGCGTGCGTGCCTGTGTGTGTGTGTGTGTGTGCGCGCGCGTGCGTGCGTGCCTGTGTGTGTGTGTGTGCGTGCGTGCCTGTGTGTGTGTGTGTGTGTGCGTGCGTGCCTGTGTGTGTGTGTGTGTGTGTGTGTGTGTGTTGTTTTCATTTTTGATGAGGAATGAACCCAGGGGTTTTAGGCACACTAGTCAAGCACATTCCTATTGACCTGCCACCCCAGGCCCTATGTGCAACATGGGTAGGAAGCAAGTTGTTTCAGAAATTCTAGCAATTTATAAAACCTAGGACAAGGCAATTAAAACTATGCACAATGAGAAGCACTGCTTACATCATGATAAGAATAGAAAACATACTGCCTTACAAGGCTTGGTTTGCACTCAAAAGCACTGGGAGGCCTTGGGCTAGTTAGTTAACAGCTTTAGGTCTTAGATGCTGTGAAATGGGACCAGATAAGACTATCTCTGGAAAAAGTTAAAGTATCCTGAATGTACATAATGAAGACTTACCATCCCCAGCAACTGGAAACAGTAAGTATAGCACCTAACATCATTGTATTTTATCTTCATATCATAGGGAAGGGAGAGGGGGCAAGTGCAGGAGTTAATCCAGATTTCACTTAGCTTAAAGTATATAGTAGTGTGTGCTTACTATAAATACCGAAGAGTGAAATTGTATTTTTGAGAAAGTATTTCTGATTAGTGTGTTTGATATTGTCTGTACCATGTAAAAGACTCATTTGTGCGACAGAAATGAACAATTAACATTGTGAACTGTCATATTCCATTCCTGTTTGTTCATAATATAGAAACTACCAGAGAACAAATTCAATCCTTCATAATTCAATTTCTGTATCTTTGAATACTCAGATGTTTAAGCAAAATTCAAACATTAAAGTATTAATGTAGCACAATGAAGAATAAAAATCAACTCCCTTGATCTACACCAAACCATCATAACAATTCAATGAGAGAAATTTCTCAGCATTGCAAAGCAGTGATAGTTTTCTAGATAGTTTTCTAGTGAAGGAAGCAGAACTAACTTTTGAAATGACAAAGGTCTTAATAATTAATGTATTTTTACTAATAAACATATGTTCATATGTGTATTTTTAAGAATGAATTACTTAGCCGGGTGCCAGTGGCTCATGCCTGTAATCCTAGCTACTCAGGAGGCTGAGATCTGAGGTCTGCAGTTCAAAGCCAGCCCAGGCAGTTAAGTCCATGAGACTCTTATCTCCAATAAACCACTAGAAAACCAGAAGTGGCGCTGTGGCTCAAGTGGTAGAGTGCTAGCCTTGAGCTGAAGAGCGCAGGGACAGTGCCCAAGCCCAGAGGAGTTCAAGCCCCACGACGGACCAAAAAAAAAAAAAAAAAAAAAGAAGAATGAATTACTTTTCAAAGGAAGTTTAAATTTAAATTCACTTGTAAAAACATTTTAGATGGAGCACAGGAATGGAGGGAGAAATAGTGAGCAAATGCAATCATTATATTCTATATACATTTTGTAAAAAATGAACTATGTACCTTGAGGATAGAGATGGGAGGAAGGAAAATGGGGAGAACAAGGGAAAGGATGACAATGACCAAGTAGCACTGTATTCATAACCTGGTTTATGAAATTGTAACCCCTTTGTACAACTACTTAATAATAAAAGCATTCCCCAAAGCTGGGCGCCGATGGCTCACACCTGTAATCCTAGCTACTGAGGAGGCTGAGATTGAAGGATTGAGGTTCAAAGCCAGCCAGGGCAGGAAAGTCCCTGTGAGACTCTTCTCTCCAATTAACCACTCAAAAACCGGAAGTGGCATTGTGGCTCAAGTGGTAGAGTGCTAGCCTTGAGCTGAAGAGCTCAGGTACAGCAACACCAGGCCCAGAGGTCAAGCCCCACAGCTGATCAAAAAAAAAAAAAAAAGAATGCCCCAAATAGCCACATACCCTAAACATATATCATGAGTAGAAAAGAACTGTTAACTATAGACAAGAAATGGTGAATTTTAAGAAAACCAAAACAGGTCAAAACATGACATGACTTTTTACCTCAAGAATGTAGTTCCATCCCTTTTCATTAAAGACATCATCTTGGAAATGTTCTTTGTACACCTCTTTGGCTTCCTGGATTTTTTCTTTGGTCACTACTTTACCTAAAAGGATATACATGTCCTGTTTACATTTCTAAAGGCATTCTGTGAGTTGCTGAATTGTCACTCATTCTATGGATTTAAAAAGTAATAATGAGAGGTTAAATAAGTCACCCTGTCAACAGCAGTCAGAAAAGGAATTTGTTCTCTTAGTCACCACTTTAAACATGTTACTTTATTTTAAAAACAGATAAATAGAAATTACTTGCATAGTATTAAAAAACATTAAGATAGTCTTTAAATTCAAGATGATTAAAACACAACTTATACTTCTCAAATGAGTCTTTCCATTGTATTCATTCATAAGGGATATGATGCCTCAGGGCTGGTAAACCAATCATTTTCACAATTACCAAATTATTGCCCTCTCCCTAAGTACATTTTAGCTAACTTTTCTGTAAAACAAGGACAAGGACAATGGTAAAGTACCTAGTTAGAGGATAGTGTGAGGAATAAATGAGTCACAACACAGAATAATTACAATGCTAGCCTAGATCAAGCAATCCATACCTTTCAGTTGTAATTCATCATATGATAGCTTTTAAACTGAATTCAAGTGTACTATCTATCTTTGGAAACTACACAAAGTTTATAGTTGATGCACTTAAAATATCTTGCTTCCAGGGCTGGGGCTTGAACTTAGAACCTCACATTCTTGAGAAGCTTGCAGTTTGGCTAATGCTCTACCACTTGAGCCAAACCTATATCCTGGCTTTTTGCTTCTTAATTGGAGACAGAGTTACATGGACTTTTCTGACTACACGGGTTTGAACTGTGACCCTCTCGGTTTCTGCCTCTTGAGAAGCTTAGAGGCATGAGCCACTGGCACCTGGCTACAAAGAGGTATTTTTGCTATCTAGCTATGTTTTCAATAATATACATCTTTTAGGCCAAGATTATGGAAAAGATATTACTTGAACAAAATTAGGCTTAATCTGTCTTAAACTACAAGCTAATTATTATTTAAAAATTTCTAATATACTCACACAGACTAGAAACAGCAAAGAAATTATTGAGATTTTCTTGTTTTATTTACAATACATTTGAAATTTAAGTCCACAATTAGAAATAGTTTTGAAAGATGAGTCCTTATAAAACTGACTAGCATAAAAATATTCTAGTTGTAAATGCTACCATAATTCAAAATGCTTCCCAGTCAATAATAAATCCTTTACTTTATTAACTAAATTCTATTAGCAAACAAGATTAGCCTCTGAGATGACTGGATTTCCTAAATTTATTCTGAAAGTTACTATTTTCAAGAAAACTTTTCTCAAACTCAAGCACACCAAATATACCTGTCAAATTCTAAGATTTAATGGATTCAACCTACAGATGAGAACTTAAACAGGTTACAAATTTCCTAAAAAAATCTCTAGTATGGTTTAAGTAACTAACTATCATACATTACTCAAAAATTTGCTTCAAATAATAGCATATGGAAAAATATGAAGTTACACAAAAGCAAGAGATTTAAATGTACTAGGAAAAGTTATACCTTTTAAGTACTTATTAAGAATGTACTGCAACCCATAAAATACTGTTTCCTCGTATTTCACTTTCCTTACTTTGGAGTTTTCTGTCTTCTTTTCACGGCATTCAAAGTAGGAATAAACTTTGCTTGTGTTGGGTGGGTATTGTTTATAGTGAGTAACCTATATGGAGAGAAATACTTTAGAAAACACCAAAGAGAATATGAATCACAACCAAAGGCTTGAAATTATTTCAAATCTAGGAAAACCATACTTCATGCTTGCTATTCATCAACTCCCCCATCCTCTCATCCAGAATAAAAAAGTCAATTACCTAGTATGAAACTTTATCTTAAAATCAAAACCTCAACTCAAGAGACCAAACTTAAGTAGGTACCAAGCCTCTGAGTTGGCAAAGAAACTCATTTGGATTCGGAAATAGCCACTTTTCATTCAGATGAGAAGCAACTCCCTACAGGGTGTATAACCAATACTAAAGAATGAACCAACTCCACAGATCTGGACATGTTAAGTATTTGTACTCCTTATCTGAAATGTTTGGGACCAGTGGCACTTCTGATTAGGATTTTAGAATACTTGTATATACTTATGAGATACCCTGGGGGTCAGGACCCACATCTAATCACAAAATTTATTAGTTTCATATATACCTTGTACCCATAACCTAAAGTAAGTTTATGCATTATTTTTAATGTATCTATGTTTTGACCATGACCTGTCACATCAAATACGGAATTTTGCCCTTGTGATATCGTGACCGTTCACAAAATGTTTTGGATTTTGAATTAGGAATATTCAATCTATAATTGTAGTGTTACTATCTGAATGTGTATATTTGGTCATGATGGCTCATAATTATTTCTTCATTTACATATAAGTAAATACTGAGGATGGTTCTTCATGGCTGTCACAGTGACACTTACAAAAACCTGCCATAAAAGCAATAGCAGCAGCATAAATATATAAAATATATCTAATAATCTTTCTTTTTCTCAAATCCTAACTGGAAAACAAATCCCTATACAGCACAAGATCAGTTATTTATGAGTCATGAAGATTTCTTAGCAGAGATTTCTCCTTTTTAAACGTTAAAGCAACAGTTTTTTTTTTTATCGGATTTTGTTTAAAAGTTAAAAATGTTCATCAGAATTTTTATTTCAGTGTTTTTACTATAATAAAACATTTTAGCAGTAAAAAATGACTAGAAGAATAATGTATATTTGGCCTGGTGGAAAGAATAGGAATGATACAGCTTGGGTGATTAAGGTACAGGGCCAATCATGGCAATGATGGAAGTTTTCCTTTGCTTGGCTGCAAACTTCAATCTCAGTACAATCTGGATTTATCCTAAAGAATCTTGGCTGGGAAGGTGGCTCAGTGGTAAAGCACTTGCCTTGCATGCATGAGGCCCTGGGTTCAATTCCTAGCACCACATAAGCAGGGGAAAAAAAAAAAGAATCTTTAGCATGACAATGCTAAAATACATGTATTTCCATCAACACTTACGAACAATCATCCTTTTCCTTCTCCAATGACCTATTTACAGCCTCTCTTCTGTTACACACAGTCAATGCTAGGGGTTAATCTTTATAGTAACACGTGACTGGAACCTAAGTTCTACTGGAATCTTGAGGCCCTGCTTTGCTCAGATATAACAGATGTTTACATACTGAAAGACACTGGGGGGGCTCAGTAAAATCCAGATGTATGTTGATCTCACTTTTTAAGAGGGAAGAAGTAGCTTAAATGAGCAGTAACAGAGAACCCACAACAATTAAACGTCTTAACCTACTAAAACACAAAAGCAGGATAATTATTTATTATACTTCTGCAATAAATGTTATTAAAAGCATTATTTCAATTAAACTGATTAGACACAACTTCCACCTAAAGATGTATGAAAACACAAAAATGTCCAATTTATAATGTAATAAGTCTAATTCCTGCAATGGAACTAAGTAATGAGGATAGCCACCCTGATAAAAGACATACAGACCACAAGCATATCTCACGGCATCCATTCTGGTTTGACCTACAGTTAGTCTTTTATTTTCTCAACTTTAAAAGGTTGTACAAGGGGATTACAATTGAACATGTCTAAGTAGCCAGTTCTTGATCAGTCACCCCTTCTACCATTTTTCATCATCTGGTCAGTTCCCTCCAAGAGACTAATTTCATGATTCCCAATTACTTTATCACCTGTGTACATTAAGTATTCTGGCTATGTTGTACCTGGTTCATTTTTTCATCCATCTACCCCCTCTCTTACTACTAACCAACCCCCTAGCCTGGTCTCCATAGTTCTGATATCTATTAGTACATCTTCTATCAGATTTTCAAATACTATAAAGCAAATTATTTTCCTCTCCTGAGAAGACAAAGTAGTCAAAAATTGAGTAGAAATAGCTCTAAGCTATTTAGCTCCATCTGGGTTGAAAAGCATACTAAATTTTTCCATCACATAATTACAGTTCCAGTTATAGACAATAATTACAATTTTGAAGTGTTAAGACTACAGTTTGGGTTTTTTTTTTGGTACTGTAAAACTCACTTTTCCCTAAATATTTAAGAGCTTTCTCTGAAACAAGTATTATTTAAGATTAATATTAAACATTTAGGCTGTTTAATTATAAATGAAGGTATGCTTAGAAGTCTTAAGAGAATTCCAACTGGTTAGACAAATTCACAGGTAACTAACCATGAAACATAATTTTCTATTTACTAAATACCTAACACTCAGCAAGTTTATAATGAATAGATGACAACTCTAGTTTTGCTAGTTTATTGCCTTCTTTTTCCATTTACTGTTAATCTGGTCAGGAACCTTTACCAGAAAATTGAATAACTTGTAGGCAGGGACAGGAGGGGAAAACGGGGAAAACAAAGGAAGGGGTAACATCCAAGAATTGTACTCATACCTGACTTATGGAATTGTAACCCCTCTGTATAACACTTTATATAACCTTTACTGCTTATGTACTTAGCATTACTATATTCCATATGCTGGGGATGAAAAGTAAAAGAGACTGACAAAGTCCCCTGGCAAACAACTGGTGGGGGGGGGGGGGATGAGAAAAACAATACATAAATAATTTCAGATCAAGAGGATGCTTTGAAAAATTGTACAAATGATGAAGTAGAGGAGGCCTAGGAACCACTTACAATGGATGCCCAGAAAGCCCTACGTGACAAGACAGAAATGCTTTGGCACAAGTGATAGAACAGAAGGAGGCCTCTGCGGTTGGTGCTCAGACTAGACAAGGTCAGAGGAAAGCTGGGAAAAGATCACAAAGCTTTCAGGCTACTGTAGAGCTTTGATTTTTTTACCAAGTGCAAAAGGAAGCTAACTATGCTTTCAGCTAGGGTGAATATGATCTGATTCACATTTTTTTCAAAAAGTTTTTGATGCTGGAGATTGTAAAGGATATTGCATATGCTAAGTGCATGTTCTAACACTAAATTACACACTCCTGCTCCCATGTTAAAAGAGTCAGGCTGGTAGTAAGTAGAGTATGGATTAGAGGGTGCTCAGAGCAAAAGCAGGAGTTAAGAGGCTACTATCCAAAACCAGTAGAAGAAAGAACAGGTCCAGTATTTTGGAAAACAAGGAGAACAGAGCTGGCAAACTGAACATAGGAAAAAATAATGGAGAAGTATTAATGATGCCTTTTTTCTGGGTGCTGATGGCCCATACCTATAGTCCTAGCTACTGAGGCTGAGATTGAGAGGATCATGGCTTAAGGCAGACTGGGTAGAAAAGGCCCTGAGACTCATCTGCAAAATAACCAGCAAAAAGCTGGGCTGGAGGCATAGCTAAAATGGCAAAGTGCCAGCCATGTAAGAAAGTGTGAGACTATAAACCCTAACTCTGTTAAAACAAAAAAAAAACACCAACTAGAGTTCTGGCTTGAGCAACAGGATCAATAATGGTGTCATTTATGATATGAGGAAGACAATGGAGACTGAGGGAATGAGTGGAGAAATCAAGTGTTGTAACGAAATCAAATCCGTCTTGAATGTAAGTAATACTTACAAGAAATTTCACAGAATTCAAAATTAAATACAAAAAGGATGCTGTTAAATCACATTCACTTTTTAACACTGCTCTGACTTCTAGAGAAAATGGTTCTATGATAAACGTAAAATTTTTCATTAGGCCCAGATCTGAGGATTGTGGCTCAAAGCCAGCTTGGGCAAGAAAGTTTGAGAGACTCTTAGCTCCAAGAGGTCACCAGAAAACCAGAAGTCCATGGAGGTGTGGCTCAAAGTGGTAGAATGCTAGCTTTGAGCAAAAGAGCTCAGGGACAGTGCCCAGGCCAGGAGTTCAAGCTCTACGACCAACACTTCCCCTCCCCCCAAAGAAAAACCCCACAAAAAAACAGTAAAAAATCTTGATTAGGTATAGACAAAGTTCTGATATAACTCCAGCCAACTTTACTATTACACAGACCTCCCACAGCGAAGAGCATCTATATAATATTAACACAAGAGTGGTAAAGAACAGATACTTTGTAGCAGAACTTAAGTGTCTGCATTGTGACAGATTTGCCAAGGAAATAAAAAAAGATAAGCTAAGATATTCTGGGTAATAAGTGGAGCGCCTTTTCCACTGTGCAGTATTTGTTGGTAAGCAATCTATATCAAAATTTTGTATTGCCAAGGCTAAGTATTCTTGTTTATAGTATGATTAATTCATGGGGGAAAAGCACAGACAAATTTGAGTAGAATCTTTCTGGGAGAGTAAGATATAATGTTGTTTAGCTGCTTCTCTAGAGCCCCCGGAAGTTTTCTGATATCCTTCCAACATCTTTCCTCTCATTATGAGATCATATAGCCAGAGGCAACTATTACTAACTTACTTTTTTCCAGTTATACTTTTAGTTTTAACTGCTAACATTAAAAAAAGAGCATATGAGATAATATATTCAAGACCACTGAGCAAGTCTAGTTGTATATACAGTATCTAAGGGCATTAGAAGATGATGCACTAGCCCTACAATAGATAGACTTTTTTTTTTTTTTAAAGTTATTTTGTTGGTCATGGGGGCTGAACTCTGGGCATGGGCGCTGTCCCTCAGTTCTTCAGATCAAGACTAGCACCCTACCACTTGAACCACAGCACCACTTCCAGCTTTTTTCTGCTTATGTAGTGCTGAGGAATTGAACCCAGGGCCTCATGCATGCAAGGCAAGCACTCTACCGCTGAGCCACCTTCCCAGCCCAGATGATATATATATCATCACTAGACTGATAAGTGGTTTCCCAGGTACAAACTTCAGCAGTACCCTCTTTATGACTAAAGTCAGGCTACCATGGGAGCCATTATACTAGTACTTTAGTGTTCATTTAGGAGCAGTGACAAAGAGGCAGCTATGAGAAATAGGAACATCTCAGAGGAAGACATGGGAGGCTAATGTTCCAGATAGAACTGGCCCACATGATTCTCATCTCCAAAATATTTTCCTCAAGTAACTCAAATTTCTAGGTTTTTTAATTAAGACATTAGAAAAACAAAATCTCGACTGTTTCATTACTGTAAATCAGTTGGACAGCTCTTTGAAACATTTCTAAAATCAATCTTCCTACATCGTGAGTTGTATACACTGCTCATCACTGTCTTCATTTACAATGCCAGATAAGTCTTTAATATATATTAAATAATTGAAATGATTGAAACCATATGAGTTCTAGTTAACCAGCTTATAAAAGGCCTTTTGAAAAGCAAGGTACACTGGACAGCTCGGTTCATAAATAATGTGATATGATGTAAACCACACATTGTGTAAGGATTACTTCTGTGTGTTATGTCCTTTATAGTATAATTGATGTCTTCTATTAATTTACTACTACAGATAAAAATAGACATTCTGAAAATATTCTCTGCTGTAGTAACAAACCAAGTGTACACACTGGGGAGGGGGAATGACAGGGGACAAGCATCTTTAAATGCTCTAATTATTTAGAAACTAATCAATGGCTATCTTAAAGTGAAGCAAACCTATCTGTTTTACAAATGTTATTGAAGCACTCTGATGGCTACAATTGGCACCTTCAGTCCTAGCTGGTTTAGCACAATGTAAATACACTTAGTGCAGAACAATGTTGCCTAAAGCTATTCTGAAAACATAAATGATCAACAAAGTATTTAAGTTAAGATTAGGTCCCTTATACTTACAAAAAGTCCTGAAAACTGAAGAACCACATTTGCCCATGTTCTTAGTTACACATTAGGTTTAATAAGTATGAGATTTCAGAAACAATGAATTTCAAATGTTCCACCTTTAGCAGAAATTGTTGTGGATTACCTTCCTACATGTTGCCATGTGCGTACATGTCCACCTCTGTACCAAAAATCCCTTCATGCAGTGCTTGGGCAATCAATAATTCCTCCTTCAATTTTAGAAGAAATCAACATATTTAACTTTTCCCATTAACATACAGATGTTTGCCTAGAGTTTGTGAGAACTGATATGGATTTGTAACATTTTACAGCAATTTCCAAATAGTGTCATCACTTTCAACCTCAAGATTAACACTGTGCTTCTTTTTTGCCTATGATTAAAAAAAGCAAAACTAGAAACTGCAAGGACCATTCAAAAGGCAAGGAAAAAGAAACTCAATGACCAAATCTGATTGTGGAATACAAAAATCCTGTATGTTAGTATATTGTTGTAACCCACTGGTATAAAAATAACAACCTGACTGAATCCCCTTGAAGGGACTTTTAGAGGGAAAAGTGAAAAAACAAAACCAAGATGCAAATCTTCTGACAATATTTCATGTTAAGAAAAAGGATAAAATGTAACAGCCTGATTTGGTAAAAATTTACGTAGGTACAAATTCTAATAGTGCAAGTAAGTATAATTTGCTAGAAGATTAGAAAACTTAAGGGTAGCTAGTTCTGAGAGTTCAAAGCCAGCCTAGGCATAAAAATACACAAGACTCCATCTTATTCAGTGGAGGGAAAGCACAAGTTAGAAGATCTCACCCCAGGCCAACGCTGGTGTAAACCAGAACTTACCTTGAAACAATCAAGGCAAAGACGGAGGCTGGAGTTGTGGCTCAACTGGTAGAGCACTTACCTAGCAAGCAAGAGACCCTGAGTTCAATCCCCAGTATTATGAAAACAGGACCACAAACCCAAATAGAATTTTAAGGTAACTCATTATTTTAACTACACTCACTCCCTACCCACAAACTGATGTTTAACAAATTTGACCAAACTGCCTGAAATCCTAACTACTCAGGAGGCTGAGGTGCAGTTTGAAGCCAGCTCAGGCAGAAAAGTCCATGAGAATCTTATCTCCCATTAATTACCAAAAAGCCAGAAGTGGAGCTGTGGCTCAAGTCATAAGTGTTAGCCTTGAGCACAAAAGCTCAGGGACTGAGCTCAAACCCTGAGGAGTTCAAGCCCCAGAATCAGCACAAAATAAAAACACTACATTCCTTAAAACCGCTCCAGGACCTGCATTCCCTTTTGCTTCTGACTTATTTACATTTCCCACTTACAATTCAGTAATTTACTCCACAGCTAATGAGCTAAGAATCTGAAAATTATTTTAAAGAGTTAAAAGCAATGGATGAAACCCTAACATCATTAATAAAGATACCAAAAGCAGTGTAACTGAACTAAGAGAACTCAAGCAGAAGTTTTAGGGTCAGGTGAAGAACCATACTAGAAATGATCATGCCCTTGCATTAGTACAGATTTCTTTCTTTAAATTCCCTTACAGAGACTTGACACTCAATGGAAATTCATCCAAGTATAACAGAATCCTAATCTAACTGCAAAAAAAAAAAAAAAAAATTGAACTAGTACTGAAATAAAATGGAATTCTCTCCAGTATTTGAGGTTTAAAAAATAAAACACAAACCCAGTGTCAGTACCCTCAGACCTATAATCCCAGTTACTCAGGAGATTGATGAGGGTCTAGATTCCAAAGCCAGTCCAGGCAGACCAATAGGAGAGATTCATCTCCAATTAAAGGAGGTGTGGCTCAGGTGGTAGAGTGCCAGCCTTGTGGGTTAAAGCCAGACCACAGCACCCTAACTGCAAACCCCAGTACAGACAAATAATAAATAAATAATAAATAGAATCCAGAGAAAATCCAGACAGACACAAGAATACTAGGCTAATTACTGTATTAAAAAATTACCATGTTGCTCCATGTAACTTAAAAGCTAAAAATTTATTTTCTACGATTAGTATTTCTGACCTCTGACATTTCACCTTTTAAGCAAGCCTCTTGGCTAAGCAAAGTTAGTCAAAGTATCAAAGTTCCCTTTGTATAATTTGGAGACGCTGGCGAGGCTTTCCCTCTAGTGATTCCCCCCCTTTTCTGTCTCTTTGTGAGTTTGACTTGAGTTTCAACCAAAATTAATGGGGCAGCTAAGCATGCAAGCATCCAATAGGCATATTAAAGCAACGCGTGCCGTTTCCTCTCCACAAGTTCTGCAGGGTGAAAACTCCAATTCCTTTAAATCTCCGCGAGTTTCAGTTTCCTTTTCACGGAAATCCCGTCGTGACCCTAAAGGAGCGCCGACCCCGTGGCCCCCGCACCCCGGGGTCAGGCGCAGGAGCACGGTCAGCACGAGAGCTGGAGATGCACGCGGCCCAGCAGGATGAACCGGAGAATGCACCCCGGCCACCGGGGACAGACGTGAGTCCACCGCCCTGTGCCCCAGGCTGGGCCGGGCAACGTGCCGGGAGGGCGCCACCACCTTCCTCCCCTGGAAGGGACGTACCTGCCCGGCCAGGGGCGGGCGGGCGGGCGCGCGGGACCTTGCTCGGCTCCGGAGCCCGCTCCGCCCACCGAGGCCGTGACCCGGGGCCGTTACCTAACCAGTCACCGCTGCCTGGGCCAGCGCAGGGCGCAGAGGCCGGGTCCCGGGGAGGCGTGCGCCCCGGCACGCCGGCGAGCCCTCGCGGCGCACCGCGCAGCGCAGGCCCCGCCTCCAGCCTCCCGAGCCTCCATCCCTCCTCCGCCGACCTCCTCCACTGCGGCGCCGGCTCCACCTGCCCCATCCCGCCGCGCCCCGCGCCCCGGCCCCGGCGGCCGCAGCCTCGCGCTGCCCCGGGACGCCGGCGCCCGCCGCAGCCGCTACCTTGTAGGAGTCGGTGGCCAGGAGGATGTTGAACTCGGCTTCTGCCGCCGCGTTCATCTCGGGCCGGAGCGGAGGGGCCGCCCGCCGCGAGCTCCCCGGCGCGGCTACGAGGAAGGAGGAAAAATAAGGGCTTCGCCGCGCTCCGTGGCTTAAGTCACCACCCGGTCGGAGGAGGCGGGAGACCGGGGAGAAACCGAGCGTGGGGAGGGGCTCCGGGAGGGCGGGGCGGGAGCCGTGACGCGGAGGCGGAGGCGGCGGCGGCGGCGGCGGCGGCGGCGGCTGGCGCGCGCTCCCCGCGGCCTCCCGGCTCTGCTCCCGGCCCCGCCCCGCCCCCGGCGGAGACCAGGGGCGGGGCGCGGCCGCGCGTGCGCAGCGCGGGGGGCGGGGCCTCGGCGAGGACGTGAGGCACGCGCTCTTCCTCAGCCGCTCTGGGGCCCGCGGAGGCCCGGGCTGCGGGCGGCTGTGGCGCGTGACCTCGGCACTCGCCTCGGTTTCGGGCTCACGCGGAGGGGCGGAGCCCTATGGGAGGGCGTTCCCGGCCTCGTCCCTCCCGCCGGCAGCGGGATCTCCCGTCCCGGCCGGCGGGACCTTGCTCTGCTGCTACCCAGTCCTGCCTCATTCGGCCCCGGCTCCTGCCGGCGTCTCGCCGCTCGGCTGGGCCCGGAGCCTCCCCGGCCGCCCGCCGTCCCCGCGCGCGCCCGAGTTACCTTTGTCTGAGCATCCTCGGGCCCCCTCGGTGGCTTCGGGCTCACCGAAATCGTGGGGTCCCCCTGATCGGACGCGTGGGTCTGCTTCCATCCCTCCCCGGCGGTCTGGGCTCCGGGCTCCCTTCAAGGATGCTTTGAACAGAGCCTGCCAGGGAAGGCTGCGGTTGGGCCCAGCCCTCCCCCTCCGTGAGCGGATCGAATCCCAGGGTGTCAGCGAGCCCCCCCCTCCCCCTTTAAATCACCATTGTGATTGTTAACTCCGGAATGAGCTAGCAATCCCCGATCACGAAGTGAAATGACAGCCGATGGGCTCACCTCCCCCAACAGTTGCATTTTTTGCATAGAAGTGAGATTCCCTGTGCTCAGCTACTCAATTCCCATGCTCCATACGTGAAGATTTGGGGTTTTAAAAAATCGTGATAAGGAGGCTGGGAAGGTGGCTCAGTGGTAGAGCACTTGCCTTGCATGCATAAGGCCCTGGGTTCGATTCCTCAGCACCACATAAGCAGAAAAAGCCAGATGTGTCTCTGAGGGACAGCGTCCAGGCCCAGGGTTCAGGCCCACGACTGATGAAGAAAACAAAATTGTGATAAAATTTGCCATTTTACTCATTTTTAACCTCATTTTGGTGGCATTAAGTGCATCCACACTGTTCTACAACCATCTATCTCCAGAACATTTTCGTCTTTCTAAACTAAAACTCAGCACCCATGAAACAACTGCATCCTTTCATCCCTAGGCAACTTTTAGCCTTTATTTGTATTGCTTTTTCTAATTGCCTTATCTTAGATACACAGTTAGACTTCACGCCCCCCCACCCCCACCCCGTGTGTGTGTGTGTGTGTGTGTGTGTGTGTGCGCGTGTGTGTGTGTGTGTGTGTGTGCGCGTGTGTGTGTGTGTGTGTGTGTGTGTGTGTGTGTGTGTGTGTGTGTGTAGAGGGGGGGAGGATCAATAGTATGGAACTTGTGAATCTAGAGGCATTTATCTCAAGGGAACAGAGCACAACTACGACTTTTCAAATAAAAGGCCCAGGTCCAAACTTATTGTCAGTTATGTGTTCTTTCCTCCACCCATACGGGTAGAATCCAGATTCTAGTCTTGGAAGTGCATACCTTCAATCCTCACTAAGCAAGGTATTAACCTCTGCTAATTCATTTAGAATTATTTTCAGCAATGAGGTGGGACACAAGACTCTTGTTGTTATTTTGTTAACTGAATTGCTTACTGGGGAAAGACACTATGTTGAAAATGAACTACACAACTTGTGGATCGGGATGGGAGGGAAAAGCTGGGAGAGAGTGAGGGAATGGGTGACATTGTTCAAAAAGAAATGTACTTTTTATCTGACATGTAACTGTAAACTCTGTATATCATCTTTACAATAACAAATAAATTTTTTTAAAAATTATTAAAAAAAAACAAATAGTTTGCTGGGAAGGTGGCTCAGTAGTAGAGCGCTTGCCTTGCATGCATGAGGCCCTGGGTTCGATTCCTCAGCACCACATAAGCAAAAAGAAAAAAGCTGGAAGTGGCGCTGTGGCTCAAGTGGTAGAGCACTAGCCTTGAGCTGAAGAGTTGAAGGACAGTGCCCAGGCCCAGAGTTCAGGCCCCATGATCAGACCCCCCCCCAAAAAAAAAAAACAAACAAACAAAAAAACAAATAGTTTGAGAAATTTTGTTTCATTAATTCAAATGTGGCAATTAAAAGAAGGAAAAAATGATTTTGCCCCTGTGAATTTGGTGCTTCTTTTCTTCATGTAAAATTTTTGTAACCTACTTCACTTGCATGACAAATTCTTAGCTTTCTGGAATCTACATTATCTACAACTGAGCATTGTTCTATGCTATTTTATACAGGGAAAAAAATGAGGGATTCGGATTACAAAGTAGGCTTTGTTTATGGTAGCATTTTTTTTTAACAGCAAATCTTTATCTTACAATCTTTGAATGTAATTCGAGGTTTTTAAAATGAAAGGCTTAATATCAGTGCAAGTAAGAAAATGTTAATCTTCCACAGGTATTGTCATTGCTTGTTAAAAGCTGGATTAAGGCCCATATAAGTTATTCATCTCAGTCTTCACAGAAATCTCCACAGGAAAAGATGGCCATGAAGTTGCTGTGCTTTGGATCTCTCTCTCTTCCTCTCTCTCTCTCTCCCTCCCTCCTTCACTTCCTTTCTCCCCTCTCCCTCTCTCCCCCTCTCAGTTCCTCTCTCCCTCCCTCTTTCCTCCCTCCCAGTCTTCTCCTTCTCTCCCTTTCTCCCTGTCTCCTCCCTCCCCTTTTCAGTCTTTCTTCCTTCTCTCCCTCTCTCCTTCTCCTTCCTTCCCTCTCTTCCTTCTTCCTCTTTCCCTCCTCCTCTCCCCCTCCCTTCCTCCCTACCCCCCTCTCCCCTTTCTCTTCCCTCTTTCTTTCTCTCCCTCTCTCTCCCTCCCTTTCTCTCTCTTTGTTATAGCAATGCAAAGGTGTATTACACAGATCTCACATTACCAACAGAAAACCACAATGCTAAAGATAGAAATTATTATATAGTAAGCCCACACTTTTTTGTGTGTCAGACCAACTTTGAGCTAGTTTAGAACTATGAGATTAGCATGAAACACAAAGAAAAAAACAAATCTCCAGATTTACCAACTAGAAACAATTATTATAAGAGGAGATTTTAAAAATTAAACTTAGATCTTTTCCTTAAATATACAAGACCCTGTGAGGCTCTCCCAGTGTCCTAATTTCCTTCGAAAACTCATCTACAGAGAGACGGAGGTCTTCATGGACCGAATTATTTTGCGGGTAGTACGTGTATAATGACTCCTCTGGCTGAGCTCTCAATAACCCCCACCCCCAACAAAGGGAGAACTATTGCGTCTCAATCAGAAGTACAGGCATAGTAGAATAATGGTCACCTGTATGGTAGATTGTCTATGGGCATTCCATTGCAAAATGTCTCTGTCTTACTGTGCAATGCTCTAGTATTTTCTGGGCAATGCTGAATTGTCAATCTGATGTGAATCTCTTTTGCAAATCTGAAATTCTGCAAGACATTTTCTCAATCTAGGTAGGCTACACAGCAAATCTAAAATTTCCTGCCTCTTTAGTTTAGATGTGCTGCTTTACAGTGTATCAATTTCTGCTTCTAATTTTAACCAAATAAAATGGGAAATAAAGGTAGAAAACAAAAACAAAATATCTAATTTAAAAACAAATAAGGCAAATATGGCTAAGACACATGTCTCAAGAGGCAGAGCACTTGCCTTAACAAGCAGATATTCCTGAATTCAATAATCTGGTACCATCAACAAAAGAAAGAGAAAGAAAAAACAAAAGGAAACAAAGGAAGGATAAGCTGGGTGCTGGTGGCTCACATCTGTAATCCTAGCTACTCAGGAGGCTGAGCTCTGAGGATAACACTTTGAAGTCAGCCCAGGTAGGAAAGTCTATGAGAGTCTTTTCCAATTTACTACCTAAGTGTTAGAAGTGGGGCTGTGGCTTAAGCATAAAACATCAGCCTTGAGTGAAAAAGTTAAGGGACAGTGCCCAGACCTTGAGCTCAAGCCACATTATCAGCATGCGCGCGCAATGCACACACACACACACACACACACTCACTCAATCAATAAGTGACAAATGTGAACTTCAGCTATCAGACTTAAAACTAGAAAGGAGTGTCAAGATCTCTAAGTTAGTGTTTGACATCTGGAGCATACATTGGTATGATGTGAACTTCAGATGGCTTAAGCAGCCCTGCTTTTATGGCCTGGACATTTGCAACCCACTTGGCCTCTCTGTTGAGCTGTCTCTGCTCTCTCATGGAACCTAGCTTTCCCTAGCAGGTGTCCCATGTTTCTGGCATCCACAACTTCCGTGGATCTCCATTGCATCTTCAGCTTTTCTCTCGTAGTTTCTCTTTCAGTTATCTGCAGCTATCCCAATCTTGCCAGCCATTGCTGGCCTCCCTGCTTTCCTTTGAATCTGGGTGAAAGCCCCCACAATCTCAGAACTCTTGCATTCCGCAGACGTGCAAAAACAAGTACCACCCAAATGATGTAAAAGTCTGCCACCAGTTCAAGCAGTAGCTGGGTCTAATCTGACCATGGCTTCAGCAGCCTTTTAGTATAGGTGTTTGACTAACAATGGCGAAATTAATGCTGTGAAAACAGTCTTTTTTTTTTTTTGTCAGTTGTAGGGCTTGAACTCAGGGTCTGGGCACTGTCCCTGAGCCTCTTTGTGCTCAAGGTTAGCACTCTTATCACTTAAGCCACCGCATCACTTCTGTTTTTAAGTGGTTAATTGGAGATAAGAGTCTCATGGGGACTTTTCTGTCTGGGGTGGCTTGGAACCATGATCTTCAGATCTCAGTCCCCTGAGTAACTAGGATTATAGGGGTGAGCCATCAGCTTGGAAACATATTCTTAGGTGTCTCTATGCCAAGTAGGGTTTCCTAGGGATAACTATGCTATTTTCTCCATGGAAAGTCTCTGTCTCTCTGTCTCTCTGTCTCTGTCTCTGTCTCTGTCCCTCCTTTCTTTCTTTCTCTATCTCTCC